CCAACCCAGCAACGAAGACCTGTAACCTTGGTGCTTTGGCCTCCAACCTCCTAGTGGTGACCTCCAACGTTGCAGTTTTTAGTTTGCTTTTTGTAGCTCTGAGCCCTCGATAGGGAGGGCCTTGTGTATGTGTAAGCCGCTATCACACGCGGACGAGTTGAAATCACAGACATGAAAGTTTGTTTCTAGTCACTTAGAAAGCAGCAGGGGGCATCGGAGGTGCTGATGAGACCGGTGCTAACAAAGACGCCCATCAGTTACCTGTGATACACGTACCTGCAGGTTGATATCGCTAAGTTTTTCTCCTCCTTTTATCCAGGCTGTTGCAGGTATATGAAGCTTGACCCGTCTTTGTAGTTCCCGACGGTGTCACTCACATACACGATTGTTCAAGGCCGTGGACTCAGGAGGTTCTGGGCTTTGACACCTTTCCACCGTTCCACCACCAAACAACTCTTCCCAGTGTGCGTGTCATAGGACATAGGGTGATGTGCTGCTGTGATGCAATGATACTATTGACACCTTCCCAAACCTTTCCCAAAGTCAGGCCAGGGATGCTGACAGTGCCATGAAGTGGTAAACATCCTCGCTTGCTGTCAGGTCACGCCCATGTAGACGGTGTACATGAATGGGATGTTAATCAACACGGAGGTCATCGCCACGAAGATCCTCTCAGGCACATCACATGCACGGAATCCTCAAGCTGGCATCACATGTCACACCTGGACACAGTGAGAGACTCAACAGGTGACTCAAGTGATCACACCTACGAGACTCTTGGAGATCCTGCTCTCAATGCACATGAACAGGGGCTTTCAACAGAAGTTAGTCTTGGTGGTGATTCACAACCTCCTCAAGCTTCAAGGGCACGAATCGGACTGCGGCAGCTCTTGCATTCAACATCCAGTTGAGGGTCGAACAATTTGCCGCCGACCATCTGCTACCAGGAACCATGGGATAATTCCAGCCACTTGTGGACGTTTCTCTAGTCGCCAAAGATGTGCCTCCATGCAGAAATGCTCCCACGTACCAACCTGACCCCCTCTCGCGGGGTTCGCCGGACCCGTCTCCTGCCATCTTCCGGACGCTTCGCATGAGCCAAATCCCCCAGCACGCCGCCCACGGCATTGCCCAGGCCGTCGCCGATGGTGCCTTGAAGCACAAGACCTTTCGTCTTCTTTATTTTTGTGATGGACGCTGAGAAAAGCAAAATGTTCTTTTCAACAAAATGAGGGAACCCCAAAAAAGGGCAAGAGCCCCTTATATTTTGTACTTGAGGCCGAGGGTTGGTGACGAAAGCTAGCAGGGCGGGGGTGAAGCGGGGGATATCCGACCGAGAAAGGTAGGAAGATAGAACAGTCAGCCCCCTGCCAGCGGAAATACACGTGTCCCAGAGACGTCCCGGGGAAGGGGTGGGCCCCCGATATATGAAGTTTTCACGCGATGCGGCGCTCTCGAGGATTCCGGCCCCTCACTTGCTAAAGCAAGAACAACTCCAGCTACTTGGTGCTAGCTTTCGTTACTTTAATGTTCAACCATGACGACAACAAACGACAACGATTACGGTCTTCTTGCACTAACCCCTAGTGTGGAGAACACCAAGTAGCATGCACCAGCGTTCGTCAAGTTTCACTGCCAGTCACTGCCATTCTTCATGGCAACATCAAAGCCCAAGAGAGCGGCTGGAGGCCCGGCCATGAAACATGCAAAACACTGTATACATAAGGGAATGCAGCGGTTACGTTCTTCAGACTTCTTGGAGGTGATGTGCAAAGATGTTAGTTGCATTCTCTTGCACGCTATGGTAGTATCAATGCATTTGTCCGTTCCAGTGGTACAACCGGAGAACCAAACAGCCATTGCAGGGTGATATTGGCCAGACTCTAGGAATTCTGTGTCCAGGACAAGTTGCGAAGCGCCAAGATAAGCCCACCTTGGCTGCGGTCTGGGTGCACATGAGTTGGACAATACAGTGAGCTCAAGGTTCTAGCCGTACCCTCTGAGTAACCTTCCCACTACATCAGTACGACCGTGATTTCTGAAGGCCCGGCCCAACATACCAAAACGAGCGGTACACGGATTATATTATTGATCCTGACCAAGTCGCACAAGGAGTTGGATACGCCCAAATATTGCCTTGGCTAGGAAATCAACAGCGACGGCAAATGGATGCAAATGGCGAAACCCCAATCACAATGGTTCAACGACTTCTACGGCCTAAATATTCTTCAGTAAATCTCTCGAAATTCCCTCCAGCACATCAGACCTACACGCAGCAAGCCGCAAGCTCTCTTTTCTCCTGTTGCTTTACCAAGTGGTGTTGTCAGTCACCTCTCAGCGCCTGGTCTCATACCCCAAGGCGGAGGAGAAGCTCAGACCCAGACCTGCACAAAAAAAAGAAATAATGAAACAAATTCTGCCTGTTGTGAACTCAGACTAGCCTGCTGCATCTGCGTGGCTGACACAATGTCCCCCTATCCCAGGCAGTGAGTGGCCCAGGCATTTCTATGGCCACGGGTTTGTTACTCTGAGGTCTAGGCCAGGCTTGTTGTCAAAGGCTCATTCATTTATGATGCAAATGCTGTCGGGGTGATGGCAGCTACCACAACAAGGCTGTAGACGTGGCAGTAAACCCAGAACAGTTTGTATTTGGTACCACGTGGTTCACGTGATGCCAGTCCCTGCGCATCTCAGAAAGCGACAAACACGACTCCAGTCATCCTACCTCACAGCTCAGCCGGCAAGGCGCTTTCTGGGCAGCACACATGGCATCATGCGCTTGCCACCACAATTCATCCCAGGGACTCCGGGCCAGTGGCAGCCAACCTAGGACTCATGGTGGCAGGTGGTCACATAGGGGAAGGCCCTTGGACACCACCCAAATGTGCAAAGACGCTAAAGGGGCCAAGTTGGGGCACTCAATCCGTTTCACAAGCCGAAGTGAATGAAGGCTGCTGCACTGCATCATATCACTGTTATCACTGGCACTGATGCAGGGCTGCCAACGGCAGAAAATCAAAGCTGAGGAACGTTGCCAGGGCTTTCGCAGGTGCCCGGGAAAATGCACGATCTTTGGCGTGCCCTGAGCTGCAAACATCCTACCCACCAGTCGACCCAATGACGCTTCAGGTGCGGCCAAAGGCGTAGAAACTGTTCTATGCTGGGTCAGCAACCTCAGTCACCCTAGCCTAACAACTACTATTGCCTGTGGTCAGACACACCTGTGTAATAATATATATATACTATATATTATGTATATCTATTTATCTATCCAAGACTACT